TCCCAATATAATTGCTCAAATTCGAATTGGACCTTTGTACTCAGCTCTACACTACTGCACTCATAAGTAAACTATTTACTTTCAGAAATTTTTATTTTTTTCTATATGACTGTTTTTGTTTAAATTGCCTGAGCAAGAGTTACGACATAATTGTATTACCCATAACATTACTTTTCCACGTTTTTTATGAAACGTGGATTTCTGATTGCAAGTCAATTTAATCGTAATTAGTAGTCACCGATACTATATATTAATGTAGCTAACAATTAAGTTCGAAATGACATGACCTTGCATTCGATTTATTACTTATGTATCTATAATATATTTTATGACACATGCCCTTTTCAGATTTCCGTATACAATTATTTTTCATACAAAATCAATATGTATACAGTGTAATTAGTTATTACAATCAATGCAATTGTATAATTACAATCAATTGGAATAAATTCAAATTTAAAAAATCGAAGAATATTACAAATGCAAATCGAATATTGTAAATTCTTTCAGGAAGTATGATTATTACGCGACAATTTCACGATTTTCTATTAATTTCAGTTCTTGCTGGCTGGATTATATATAAAAATATAAAAATATTTGATTCGATTTATAAATTGAGTATGAAAAACAGAATATCAATTATGATAATAACACAACATTCTAAAAGATTTATTAATGTCAGTATTTTAAAAGTAAAATGATAATAATTGAATGAAATTTGTTTTGGTAATGACAATATATTGGTCATATTTTTCTCAATTTTGTATTTTTTTTAAATATTACTAATTTTTTTTAAATACGCAAAGGCTAGTTGAAATAAGTATTAATATATTACAAAATTTTTATTCCTAATATATTGCAGGCATTTATTAACCTTTCTTAATGAAATAAGAAGATTTTGAATTTCACAACATTTTGAATCAAAATAGTAACATCAAGAAATACGTAATAGTCGTAATATATAAATCTCAGAAAAAAGTCGCCTTAGAAAGCAAGCCGCTGGTGCATTCTTTTAGTGTTAAAATTATTTTTAAATATATTTTAAGAGTTATGTTGTAGACTACATTATGCTTTTTAAATATGATGCGTTCGTAGTGCAGTAGCATGAGCTTCGGCCTTGCAACCGAAATATGTCCAGTTCAAATCCAAGAGAAAACAAAAGGTTAATATTTTAATTTTCAAGCTGCAAGATGGTTGTAAGACTAAAAATCTTATCACAAAACCACTAAAATTTTGTAGTTTCAATAAAGTTTAAATAAAATCCATCCAAATATTCGAAATGATCATCAATTAACTAAATTGATATTAGAACTAGTGGTGCATGGCATTGTGCCTTAAAGAACGTTGGTATAGAACCCATCAAAATGTAAACAAAATGTATTCTAATTATTAAAATATCCATAAAATATCTGATAATTTGATGTGCATATGTCTAATGATCATTTTTGTCCGCCAAATGGCATTGGATTCCCAAAACCTCTAGACCTGCCATCCCAAAAATTTCATCAGTTCTTCATTTTGTCATTACAAATAAAATGATTTTGAATCATTCAAATCGGACGCCCCGTACTTTCAAAATTGAATTAATTACCATTTTTAGCACTTTTTCTCAGTATCTTTTCGGAACGGAATAGGAATCGAATGTTTTTTGAATCATTCAAATCAGTTGATCGAGGTTCTCGAAATGATCGACGAAAAATTGTATCCGAACATACATACACACACATCCATTTTTTCTAAAGAATGCCAAAATGTTCAGAAAACTTTTGAAACAAATTTTCATTTTCGATTTCTTTGCAATTAAATGTAAACAAAATGTATTCTAATTATTAAAATATCCATAAAATATCTGATAATTTGATGTGCATATGTCTAATGATCATTTTTGTCCGCCAAATGGCATTGGATTCCCAAAACCTCTAGACCTGCCATCCCAAAAATTTCATCAGTTCTTCATTTTGTCATTACAAATAAAATGATTTTGAATCATTCAAATCGGACGCCCCGTACTTTCAAAAATTGAATTACCATTTTTAGCACTTTTTCTCAGTATCTTTTCGGAACGGAATAGGAATCGAATGTTTTTTGAATCATTCAAATCAGTTGATCGAGGTTCTCGAAATGATCGACGAAAAATTGTATCCGAACATACATACACACACATCCATTTTTTCTAAAGAATGCCAAAATGTTCAGAAAACTTTTGAAACAAATTTTCATTTTCGATTTCTTTGCAATTACTATAACTTACCCTACGAGAAGTTAATCATTTCACCAAATCTTATGGGTGCAGAAGTTTGAATTTACCGAGAATCGTTAGAATTCACAATTCGTAATCAATGATAGAATTCATTAATTAATATTAAATTGTACGTATTCGTTTTCCTTTATCTATCAAGAACATTGAGAAGTTTATTCAGCCCTTCGCTGCGCTCCCCGTTATCGTCGTAGGAGCGAGCGAAGTCAAGTCATTACTCTGCGACCGAATGTTCCCCGCCGGTTCGAGTGACGACTGACGAGAGCAAGCAGAAGCAGAGGCAGAGGCAGAAGCACGTGCCCGCCTTGTCGTGTTATTCGCACATTCGCCGAATGACATAATATCGTAGCCAGGAAGCTCCCGGACTTGTTGGATGGGAATTAACTGACGAGCACACTCGCAGTAACACGGCAACGCTAATGGATTAAGATTACGTTTAATTTCAGAAATGTTACCGACATTCGCGAATAGCGAACCGCGCCCTGGAACTATCCAGCCAGCCGCAGCTAATACGCGTTATATATTGATTAGAAACGAAAACCTAGCTCAAGATTATAACTCGACGGCCTTCAATTTGATTATACACACGAGTCAGTTCTGTTCTAGTATCTTAAAGCTCTTTACAATGAGCGATAAGCTGTTAAATACAAATAGTATCGTATACGCGTTCCATGTTACGAACAACACAACTTCGGCAGATCACAGCCGATGGTAGATGGTAGTTGTGGGATTTATGCAAGGGAGGATTTACACAGAACGCGCGTTATGTGCGAATAATGAGATGATAAATTGATGACCGAAATTGGAAAGTTATGTAACGTATTTGATCATTATCAGTATTAACTTTGGATTAATATGGAATAGACACAGAATTTTGTTAATGCCTCGAAATGCGCACATCGGAGAGGCATAGAATTTTGGTAATGGAACGAAATCCGCACAACTATACGTATGTGTATATATTATATTCAAAACTATAAATAATTTAATTAATTTTTTTCAGAAACATAATTTAGATTTATTTAGACTTCCCGTAGGGCAAGTTATAGTAATCGCAAAAAAAATCAAAAATGAAATTTTTTATATATCTTTACGTTTCAAAACCTTCTGAACATTTTGGCATACCATAGAAAAAATAGATGTGTGTGTGTGCGTATGTGTGCGGATACAAATTTTTGTCGACGATTTCGGGAACACGGATCAACCGATTTGAATAATTCAAAAAACATTCAATTCGTATTGATAAGGAGACGTGCTAATTAGTTTTTGGCATAGGCAGGTCTAGCCGTTTCGAAAAAATTCAAAATTATCAAAAAAATTAGATTTAAAGAAAAAAATTAACATGTTTCTTGTAAACATACACATAAGTTATTTGTAGAATACGCTCGTCGCCCACGGTAATAAGCACTTATAAATTTACAGTATGTATTTATAATAAATAATATATTTGAAACTATTTAATACAATTATTGATTATTTTCATTCCTCAAATTTTTAATTATGGTACGGGAAGTTCCAGCAATTTGCATTAAGGCACGAAGCCATGCATCCCACTAGTTGCTATATAGATGGATGGATTTAAAAATATGTTTTTGTCGTCATTTTCGTTTCTGTTTCGTTTTTGTTTTTATTTGTATACCTTTCATATTTTAAGGTAGTGCGGCGCATAAAAGTCCAATTTTACTGTAAGCAATTTTATTGTGAAAACCAAACCAATTACATCACGACAAATAATACATATCAAACAAACAACTATCTGACTATGTTCAGTTAAACTCCCAGCTGATCTATTTGATTGTAGTTGTTTGTTAGTTTTCCAAAAATGTATCGCCTGGTCTATTTTACCCCATATATGGAGTGAAATGGGCCGACTAGGTGGAAATAGGTCCAATAGGTTATTTTAAATTCAAATGCGATTTTACGAAATAATAGTTAAATTATTTATGAAATAAACAAAATTATGAGTATGCTTTTTACAAAGATTACATATTATATAACTTCGAAAATATTCGGCAGCAGAGATAGAATAACTATGTATTTAATTTGTCTCTTGTAAAATTACTTATTTAACTTAATCTATTATTTTAATTACAATATTGTCATTATCTATACTTTCGCCAGTGTAAAGGTTTAGTTAGTCCTTTTTATCCCACCCACATGTGAACTTTTATAAAAATTACATAACAAAATTAAGGAATATAACTAAAAATAACAATACATCTTACGAAACAATAAAATAACGTACACTTAAAAACAATAATTAGACGAAACAAAATACCTTAATTATGAATATGGCCATTTATCATCTGATAGCGACTTCGTAAGAGTTAAGAAATTACTAATTATACATATTATGTTTCCTACTTTTAAATAATACTGTTGAAAATTCTATACTTCAATTGTTTTTAAAATAATGGTGGTGCCCCTTTTACCGAGTTTTTTTTCCACTGGTGAAAAGGCATATAGATACAAACAAATTTACAATATCAATAAATATTTGGATATTTATAAATATTGAATAATAAAAACAAAAATATTTAATTTGAAAAAAAAATTAAATGCTAGAATATATACATGTAAATATAAAGTGAGTATGAATTATTTTTCAAAATATTAACTATGGCTTTTTCTTTGATAATTGGGAAAGATGAAAGCTTATATATATATATATATATATATATATATATATATATATATATAATAAGCACATATAATAATAATGGTGAAATGTTGTCATAATTACCTTATTTCAATGTTCGGGCATGAAAAGTCGAATCGTCCACCAATTTAAAGGATTTCGATTAGAATCTGCAACAAAATTTTTCATTATTAATCTGATGAATATATAAGCAAATAAATGCGCAGTAAAGTACTAAATATTATTATATTTTAAAACTTGTTTCACCAAAATATTTTGACCAGCGATCAAATAGACAAAAGTAGAGCAATAATAATCCATTTTTTCTAATTCAAAAAGATTCTTTCAATTCAATTCTTTTAATTCATGCCAAAAATATAACTAGAAATTCAGTTTTATTAAGCTACGTCCGCATTGGGTTATATTTAAAACCAAAGCGATTAAATTTTCATTCAACGTATACGTATAAATGGAAAAACAGTTATACTCATTGCGGCATTATAAATATTATACAATGACTCTAAGTGGATTATAAACTATATTAAAACATAAATTCTACTTTACTAAATCTGCAGAATTTACAGATTCATATATTTATTACACATTGATTATAACGGCGTAATCCTGCACTAAGCTTCTTAATCCATATGTTTGAATGAAAGTTTTATACAATATATTGATAAATTGGGGATTATATGTTCGAGAGTCCATTATATAAATCTTTTTCAATATATGTGAAATATATATCCGTAAATTCTATATATTATAATGTACCCACTGATAGGTTTTCATCGAAAATTAGATGAAGTTTCAGCCAAAATTACAGGTTATAATTCAATCAGTTATATCAATTTTAATCAAGTCAGAAATTATTATATAAAAATATTTTAAAATATGGAATGAATTACCAAGCAATAATATATTTTCTACATATAGCATGATGACATTAAATGATATACATATGTACTTAAAAAATATTGAATGTGCAACACTAGTAGAAGGCTATCTTTAACAGGGGTGACTAGTAACAGGCATTTTTCAATATGATTTTCTTAATATTTCTTATATTTAATTCTTAGTCATGCATAATATTGTCATAGCTACTATCCCACAAGCTGATGCAGTAAACAGAACTGTGCAGGTCCGTCATTTTTTACAGGTAATATAGAATTGATCTATCACAAAATTCCGGTTTGCATATCTTATTTCGATTCAAATTTATCAATCTTTGATAATATGTAACATTTTTTTGATTGCTAAATTGTTTTATTATAGAGAAATAGTACAGCAACTATCCATCTTTATTTCGAAAAACAATATTAGTGGATCTTAAGATAAATTAATAAGATATTAAGTCTCTAGCATCTTTACTTTTATTATATCTGTTGTTTTTATTAATATTCTGAATACTAATGACATATCTATTGATCCTTACATCATTTGGCAAGCAAATTCTAATTTTTCAAAATCCATATTATGTTTATCCAAACTTATCATATGTTAGTTTAAAAAAATCTAGAAAATAAAAATTTTAATTGAAAATCTTGCTGCCAAACTTGACGGTAACTTCGATAAGGGAAAAACTTTATTTCATTTTATTATTTAACATCAGGAAAACATCAAAATATCTATGGCAGATGACATCATTTTTGACGAGGGTCAGCGGTAAAATCTTTGGTTTATGTTTGTCATTTTAATGATCTGTTTGTAAATATTTGTTTTCACAATAATGAAGAGGTATTTTGAAGAAAACAATGTAAATAATCTAAATTGCGGGTGTTCGGAATCGGAATTAATGACTTATTAGTTCCACTTGCTAGACACATTGCTCATATAGAAGATATTTATTCTATTGATATCATATTTAGTCAATAGGAGAAAATTGATTCAAGAAATAATTGGTATCTTACAAGTGATATAGTACAATTTGTAAGGTCTATTTAACCGTATATTTCTCATACATATAAGAATAATTCATATTCACAACTGATACCAAATAAATGTAAACTTCATTGAAATAAGCGTTTGCAAATACTCAATTTATTCATGTATAATATATATATATATATAATAATATATATATATATATATATATATATATATATATATTATATATGAGTGAGTTCTTGAGGGCGATACATCAAACAAAGAAAAGCCAAAGATTTATAAAATAATCTTTATTTCCAAACGTTTCGACATTCAATTTAATGTCATCATCAGTGGATCTAAAAACCGTATGAAAATTAGCATATCTAGGTAATTATAATATATGTGGATTGGTAAAGTAACTATACAATAAGAGAAAAATTAACAAACAGCAACACTTAACAACAAACCAATATAAAAGATAGGAAAGGTATTATATTTGGTTTGTTGTTAAGTGTTGCTGTTTGTTAATTTTTCTCTTATTGTATTTACTTTACCAATCCACATATATTATAATTACCTAGATATGCTAATTTTCATACTGTTTTTAGATCCACTAATGATGACATTAAATTGAATGTCGAAACGTTTGAAATAAAGATTATTTTATAAATCTTTGGCTTCTCTTTGTTTGATGTATCGCCCTCAAGAACTCACTCATACATTTCACATCAAAATTAACTACTAAATCATTACATGTATATATATATATATATATATATATATATATATATATATATATATAAAATTTATTTTATAGATTTGATTTTTTTCGTTTTCTATTGTATTACTTGAACAGCAATAATTAAATATGGTTCTATGAGCTGTAGTGATAATTTACTTAACTACGTCGAATTTTATATATGGCAACAATTTTTCCATCTCTATGTGATAAATGTTATTATTAAAATTCCTATAATAGTGATGTTTTTTTATTGATGCAGCAATGCCGGGTAAAAGCTATGTTCACTTGGAAACATATTGCTTTCTATATTTTCAAGTGAAACCCGATATCAATACTGCTTGACATCAAGCTGCTCGAGAGGTATCGAACCTCCTCGAGTTTTTTAAAAATTTTGAAAATTGAAAATTGTATATCTAATACATCTACATCTACAAGAACCTGGGATCTCTGAACCAAATTTTATAGTTCTAATAACTAACCCATGGGCGGCCCAAAACGTAGCGGCATAATTAGTAAGATTTTTTCTTGAGTTTCTTGAGTTTTGGTTCTTATCAAAATTGAATTAGTTTTATAGCAAACTGAAAAAATTTTCTCGTACACTACATAATTGTTAAAGCAAAATATCAACCTAAGTGTGATAAGTAACCATAGACCTTAATATAACTATGTGGATTGCTAGTCGAGCGCAAAATAAGTGCATACGAATAGAAGGAAACTATAACGTCACTTGCTGATCGAGCGTAGCCGACAATCATGGAACACTCCCGTTTGATTAAATGTCATATGTCATATGTAACGTGTGTACTTGAAATTGTAAATTGTTGTAAAGAAGAAAAACCATGAAGTGGTTCTTGGAACACTCCTGAATGATTAAACGTCATATGCATAGACCTTATGATATATAAATCAATTTTGACAGATGGATTCGATTTTAGATACATTCATTTCACAGGGAAATATTATTAATATCATATCTTACAAAACTATCAGTCATTTCAATTGCCTATATATTATTGAAATAAAACTATCACAGATTATTTTTGAATAACATCAACTATTATGATAAATATTATTAATATCATCTCTTACAAAATTATCAGTCCACACAATTGCCATAATATTATTAAAATGTAACATATGGCATATGACATTTAATCAATCCGGAGGGTTCTACGGTTGTCGGCAACGCTCGTTCAGCAAGTGACGTCACAGTCCCTTCTGGCTTTATACACTTTATACAATGGAAAACATATGAGGACTGGCAGTCCATGTAGTATGAGGTCTATGTAAGTAACAAATTAAGAAATAAGTTTTTTCATATTTTATAAGAGCGCCCTTGATAATTGACGATTGATTAGAAAACTTGTGCCTTTTGGAGTAGGGTTTCCTCCTGTCGGGTACGCTAATATGTTATATAATTGTCCTAATTTTCATTAATTTTCATGGTTGGAAAAAACAAATATTTTTCCTCCGACTAAGACATTAATTCGACCTAGATGATTGCGAAGTCAACGATAATAACACAAAACCCCAAACGCGAACAGTAAGGAGTGCCTTATCACAGCAACACATGTGTGGAACGACAGGCGGGCTGCGCGGAGTAAGAGGAAGGACGACGAAGCCCACACGGGCGGACAGATTCCAGTACTCGGGCGGTCAGTGTTGTACACTTTATATAAATAATTTTTTATCTATATAAACTTATTTTATAACATTTTGGCATAACGTCCACACCATCAGAACGGTTGTGACAGAACATAGGTTAAGGGGGGGAGTCTACTTTAGAGGCTTCAAAAAATCGTTTTTATTGCAAAATGTCTTCCAAAACTAGCCAAGAATATCCCTAAAATTTGAGAAACAAATTTAGATTATTTTCGGAGTTACAGAAGAACTAGTAAGCAAGCGTCAAAAATACTAGCTTCAAACACCAAAGCTCTAGCAAATCTGATGTGGAATTGGTACAGCAGACCCAATCAAAACTACTTACAATTAGAATAATGATCTGTAGATGCTATATATTAACGACTTCATAAAAACAAGATCGACTAATCATCATCAAAATTAGATAATCACCTTAATTCACTCGTTGCTCCACGACAATCGAGAAGACTAAAAAAAATTATGGTCAGGTAATTTAATCTAGTAAAACTGCAACGAATTGTACATAATACCCACTGGGGTAACTTTTATATATAAAAATATTTTATTAGTGTCAACCAAATAGCTTACAGAATATAACTTTAAAGTTCTTATTGGTATTAAAAAAATAATAATAATACATGTAGCAAACCGTACCCAACGCACACTCTTAAAATAAACAATCGTTATTACCTATGCAAAAACGTATCTACGTGCCGACTGAAAGCAATAATGGAAACTTGTTCGAATAAACATACTCTCTTTGGACGCTATCTAAAAATCAATATAGTTTAGCTGTTATAACGCCTGTCACTACCGTAACCAGACTCCCCTACCTATTTCTTCCAATTATATCGTATGCATTAAGTTTATTTTTTGTTTGATAAAATTAGAACAATTTGAATTACACAGCATCTTGAA